TTGAGTCCAAATCTTTTCTGAACACCCAGCAGTAATGATTGCCCAATGAGGAGCAGAGGCCCATTGCAACCTTACACGGTGCTTTCATTACACCGGTGCTCTTGTGAAGACAGGCACAACAGTCTTTTGAAAATAAATGTAAAATTAGGCAGGCTTCTTGCATCCTTAGATGTTATCATTCACAATGTCCAGCAAGTGCTTTTTTCCCATTTTATCGTTATGATGAGAAACATGGCATGTTTTGATTCCTAATTTAGACTGTTTATCCTGAGAGATTCCAGGGTCTTCATCTGAATGATAAATTTATCCCTTGTTTTGCCTTTGCAGCGCACATTCCACACTACTAACACTGCATGCCATACTTTGCAACAGGGCTTGGAAGAGCTTCACAACAATAAATTTAAGACCGTGTGGAACACAATGAACTTTAGGATGGAAACAAGCCAGCTGGCCTATCTAGGTCCATTCTTTTGGTTTGAAAGAACACTTGGGCTTCACAATGGGAGCATCCTGCAGTTTTCTCTCGAGCAAAATCCCCATTGAAGGAATTGCCTCCAATCACTATGTCTGTGGAATAAAATGTGGTAAAGGTATTTTATTACTCTATGGTAGCACTCCAAGTAAAGAAATCCCAGTGTAAGTTCCTTAGTAGCTGGTTCTAGCTTTTCTGAAATTGAATGGAAGTGAATAGGGACAATACAAATTAGGTGCTCTGGGTGCAATTCATTAGCAGAATGTGCATTCAAGCTTCTTCATACCTGGAAACCCATGTTCTAGCCTCGTGTAGAGGGGCCTGGGATTAGTGATTGCGTGCAGTTGGCACATTAGGGGGTGGAGGGGGCCTCTTTTCCATTCTGATTACACAAGCAAACATCTTGTCCTTCTAGCCTACCTTTAGGACATGGATTACAATAATTTCCTTAAGTTACAGTGGCTGCAACTAGATCAGGTCTCTATTATAATATGCCTCTACCTCAGATCCTCCAAACTCCTCCTCCTCATGACATGTCCCTAGTTCCAGGAGTACAGGAGCAGGATAAAGATGCAGGACCTATATTTGTACCAATTCCATGTGGGAATCCTGTGTGAATAGATTATCATGTAGTGAAGGAGACTGGCCACAAATCATGGGCTGGAGAGCCTCCAGACTGCTTTAATTATGCTTTGCTAATTTTCCAAATAGCATGTGTGATGACTGACCTGAAGTGAGTTCAACAGTGTGCCAATACTCAGCCTATAAAATACCATGTAGAAGAATGAGAAAGCTGAGAGAGCCAATACACTGTGTGAACAAACTCCTGGCTTCTTTTCTTACCTAGTATTTATTAGGCTTCTAGGCTGCCTACCTATGGAAGTTAGAAGGATTTGACTAGAGTTACTTATCCATCAATTCAAAGTAGTTTGGCATTTTCTGACTATTAGAGAGCAAGGAGCAAAATTTCTGCTCATTTAAGCAGGTGATGAAGACCCAGTCTTCACTGACAAATACAGGTGCATTTTTACTATAGTGTATCGGACTTGCATTAAACATCGCTCTGTAAAACTTATAGTGAAAACCTAGTTCCGTAGTTACTGTGAAGTCAGTTAGATGAGACAAGACATAGGCAGTAGGCCTGTGCAAATAGGGAAGTATTTGATTCATATTTGACTGATTCGGAAGACAGTAATTTGATTTGGAGATTCGGATCACTGTCCCGAATTGATCTGGCTGAATCGGCTTTGGAAGATTTGGATTGGCCGGAGAGAGGCAAGCAAAGCCGGGCAGCTGCAGGTTTTCCTGCAGCTCCTTCAGCTGTGCCTTCCTCTCTCTGGCAGGGGGAATCATGGGAGAAGCCCCTATGGCTGCCCTGCCTGGCCCCATCCCACACTTGGCCCAGCCTAGTCCTGACACTTAAATAAAAAAAAAAAAAGCCCCACACTCATGGGCTGCAGCAGTGGCAATTGGGGCCTCTGGGCACTCATAGCA